GCGATTGCTTCTGAGGGAAGCACTCATGACTGAGGGTCAAGCAGGTGGGGTTAAAAAAACATAAAGCGCAGGATTACATGCACGGCGTGTCTGGCATTTTTGCCGGAAGGAGTGTGGTCTCGTGTGATGAAGGCATCGACGGATCGTCAGCGTGCCGAAGAGTTGGCGCATTTTTGTTATACCATGTTGGGTCTGAGGTATCCGAATGAGCCAACGTATGCAACATGGACCTCTCTTTTGGCCAGTTTTGATCCTGAGTGTTCCAGCTTTGATTTGCGCAGCAAATATGAGACAGTGAAAAATGTCTGGCAGAATGCAAAGACAAGATTGGCGCGGACGCATGTGACACCTGCACTGATGCTGACTAAGTTGCCGTTGTCATTTGATGAGTTGACGGCAGATATGCAGGCAGCATATGGGGACGCGAGGCCACTTGCGCAGTGGCCCGTATCGACCCAAGAGGTGGAAAGGCAATTCTTGCGAGTTCCCATGCGGACCTTGCATGCGAGCTTACAGGAAGAGAAGAAGGATGTGGTCCACAAGCTGGCGGATGCAATAATCAAGAGGATCGATGGGGGAGGGCGTCGTCGATCGGATGAAACCTCGAACATGTTGCCTGGTTTGAATTTTTTTTCACCAGGTAAAAGGAATGGCAGCTCTGATGTGGCTGGGTCTGAGAAGCGCTGTCAGATGGCAGCGCTGAGCAATGGGCAGGGCGCGGGCGGTGCGAGAGGAGAACCTGCGCGGTTCTTGAGTCTGACAGATGGGCCTAGGGCGCTGCGGGCGTCTGCTGAGGCTGAAGTAAGCGAAAATGCGCCGGCGACAATGACTTCGGCGCCGGTATCGGCGAGCAAGGTTGCGATTCCAAATTTGCAGCTCGTGTCTGCCCAAGGTTCATCTCCCGAACTCTTGCGCAGAGGCCGCAATGGGACAGATGCAACGAAGAGAGCCCGCGTGGATGCTGGAATTATTGCTTCGCCTACGCGGCAGCAGAATTCTTCCGTGGATGGGGAGCCGGAGCAGGACGTAGCTGGCAATGCTTCGGTGCCTGCGCGGCATGCGACCAGCAAGACAGCTACAGGATCCTATGAGGCTTTGGCAGAAGAGTTTTTGGCGGCACGGAAGATGGAGCAGAAGCCCAAGACTGCTGCGAGCAGTTCTGGGAAGGCGAGCAAGAAGAAGCCGGCTGCGTCTGCCGTGCTGAAGCTGAAGCGACCTGCGGGGTGCGTCAAGAGACCAGCGGCTGCAAAAGGTCTAAAGGATGCTTCGGTGCCTGCGGAGGTGACTGCTTTCCAAAATACCACCTTCGACGCTCGGAAGTATGGCAAGTGCAAAGTTGAGTATTATTCTCAGAAGAGCTACATTCGGAACTTCCAAGAGAAGTGGGTCATGATTGTGGGAAGCACGCATCGAAAGCACAAGTCTGTCTGCAATATGCTGGTGCCGCATGTGAAGAAAGGAGCATCCCGAGAGGAACTCCTTCGCATTCGTGAACGCATCCTTCAGCAACTTGCTGACTAGCATGGTGCGGCCATGCCGGGATCGTTGCTGCACTGCAGCACGCGTAGTATGCCCAGAGGCTACGCGCACGTGCCGTCTCTTTCTTGGGCAACTTTGCTGCACATATCTGTATATACCTGGAGTGGAATCTCTGCTTTTGACATGAAAACAAAAGAACATGTGGGCCAGGACAGCAAGGGTTTGGCGGTACTGAGTCTTTATATTGAATTCGATTGTTTTTTCCGGTGTCTTTGTTCTATTTCTTTTTCTCTCTCATTCTCTCTCTCTCTCTTTTTCTCAGTTTGGTTCTTTGCCTTGCATCGAAAAGAAGATGATATATGTTTAGCAATTGAATCAGCCAAGTTGGATTTGATTTGAAAATGCAAATCTTTGTGCCTGAAAACAGTTTGATGCAGTTTGTCCGTTTGTTCTGCAGAGACATGGGCTCAAGTATATTTCTTGGGTTAGCGCGCCGTTTCTGTGCCTACAGTTCGAGGTGTGGTTGGGCAACCCCAAAAAATGATGCAATATATATATAGTTTGTAATTTCCACAGTGTCTAGTCGCCCTGCAGGTTTGGAAGCATGGGACGCCGCTACGAGTTGCCGACGATCAGCGAAGAGGAGGAGGTAAAGTCCAGCAGCTATGAGTCGGTGACAGAGGAAGAGGGCGCTCCAGAAGCCAACCCCACGCGGGAGGCTCCAGAAGGCCACCGCATGCCGGAGGCTGCAGCGGGCGATCGTCGAGAGCCGCCGGTGACTCCAGCTCGTGCTCCGGCTTCACGCAAGAGGGCTGCGGGCCCGGATGAGGAGGAGGGGTCGTCGGACTCACGTGGACCACGTCATCGTTCCCGCGGACGTTCGCCGTCCAGGGCAAGGGCAGGGCAGCGAACTCCTTCGCCGCCTCCGCGCCCCAGGTCACCTGTGGGGTTGCCCGGAGCTTATCCCAAGAGTCGTCCGATGGTCCCTGAGCCGCCTCAGCCGCCGCACAAAGGTCGCGGGAAGGGGTTCAAACCGCAGAAGCCCAGGTGCCGCTTCTGCTGGAAGGAGGTGACCGCTCATGAAAGTGGACAGAGCCAGCATGAGTATTGGTCCACGTATTGCCTGTCGTGGCAATTCAAGAGGGCAGGGTATCCTCACAACGAGTGCGACCAATTGGCAGAGGATCTGAAGCAACGCAGGCTGGAGCGCTTCGAACAACTGGGGCCGGATCCAGATGCCCACGTGGCATTCCCAGAGCAGCCGGGAGGCACTGCAGCACCAGCGCTGGCTACGCGCCCGGCGCTGCCGGCGTCGTCCTACAAAGACAGCCGTGTGCCGGCGTCTGCGGAAGAGAGAAAGGAGAAGAAAGAGAAGAAGAAGAAGAAGAAGAAGAAGCAGAAGGAGGCGCCCAAGGAGCCGCACAAGGACAGCCGCAAAGAGAAGAAAAGAGAGAAGTCGAGCAAGGCTGCTGCGCACGACGCGGCTCCGGAAAAGAAGGCAAAGAAAAAGAAGAATAAGGGAAACAAGATCCATGTGATCGCGGTATCGCCTTCTCCTGAGACGATGCGTCGCCGCAAGCGGGAGCCGCGCAGCTCCAGTGAGTCTGACAGCTCGGAGGAGAATTTGAGATTGGTCAGCTATGGCGGCGGTAAGTACCGTCTCATTCGAGGATGAGGTCGTATGAATAAGCCCACGGGGCATGGCAGCTGTGCAGTATTTGCAGCCTAGGTGGCAGGACGCCGCCTAAGTGGCATGGCAACTGTGTCAAAGCTTTGCCTATGTGGCAGGGAATCTGCAATGTAGGACAGACTATAGGCGAGCACAGAAGTCCACGAAGGAGTTCATATGCACAGGGTAAATCAAATTAAGCAATATTACATTTATTTAAATAGACCTGGAGTCTCCACTACCCTTCGTTTTTGGGGTCGTTTGCAAAACACCTCTTTTTTGGGTACGTTTGATACTTTTTGGGGTCGTTTCATGCAAAAAAATGCCTTTTATCTTCCAAGCAGGTGCTGGCTATATACACTAAGCATTACTAAGCTAAATCATGTGAGCGTTTTGTTCTTGTCCTGTGTAATGTTGGATCAGGCACCCTCACACATCATTCAGACCCAGGCGCATAACTAAAACTTCATGGCTGAAAAGCTTTGGATCCACAATTCGTGTCGAAATCTAAAACCTTCGCCTGCTTTTGATAATGAGCTGCGGGGGCAAACATTTGCACATTGCGACACTTATGCGAAAATATACACGGGGTTTGAGCACATCCACTCGCCCTGATCTTCTGGTGCCAGCTGCTGAAACAGTTTTGACGGATGGACGGACGGACGTGAAAAAAAAGGTGCGTTTTTTGGAAAAAAGTCCTTTTGGTTCGGACGGGTCCAAGCCGGACGGATATTTCCGTACTTTGGACGCATTTTTCCGTACTTTCGGACGCCGTCCGGACGGCCCTCAGCAAAAAAAGGTACGTTTGAAGAAAAAAGGCCTTTGCATGTTTGCGTTGTATGGGCAAATCTTCCAACGACAAGTTGTCACCAAAATTGAGCAATTCACCCGCGTGTCCGCAACTGAGTGTTGAGACCTACCCTCATGCGTGCAATAATGAAAGAGCAAAGCGCGTCCAAAACCCAAAGCAAGCAAGATCGAAACCATGGCATCAAACACGTAAACGAGAACCAATAGTTTGGAAATCTTTGCTCCTGCACCTTCAAGCAGCCAAAACAAAAATGGCACCTGCAACAATGAGTTGCAAGTTGGCAATGTGGCACATTTATTTGATTTCCACAGTTTCAGCTGTACCTCCATGAGTGAACATCACTAACATGCAAAAAAACAGTACTTGATTTCAAAAAAAGTACATTCGGAAAAAATGCCATTTTCTTGAAAGACACCAAAAATTAAGGGTCGTTGGAGAGTCAAGGTATATATATATAAAAATATAGATATATGTTTTAAAATGTCTACATTCATAAACGGTCGAGTTCTAGGCGAATCCGGAAACACATATAAGCATGTGAACTCCTGGGATTGGACGCACAGAGGCTTATGGTAGGTGTCCAGTTTGCAGATACAACCCTGCAACGTACCTTCGCCTCAGATACGAAAGCGGAGTGGAAAAAAAAGTAGTGATGTCCGGCAACATTGAGGGGGGCATGGGCATATATAACACCTTCCTTGAGTTTCAAGACCACGAATTGTCCTCAAAGAATATTCATGAGTTTTATTCATGGCTGCTGGATAATAAACGGCTACAGTTGCAAGCAACCGATTTTCCAAAACTGGCCTGAAACGGATGTAGGCGAAATGTAGGCCAATGTAGGCCAAGGGGCACACTGTACCTTCCGTGTTGATGTAGGCCAACATGTAGGCCTTCATGACGCAATTAAAACTTGATCAAACGTCGATATGTCGGCCAATGTAGGCCAATGTAGGCCAAAGAGCAGAGGTACGACTGTTCCCGCAGCTTTTTTTTGGTAGCTCTCAAAGGGGTTACGGGCGTTGCTTTTTGCGTTCCTAAATGGCTGCTGCTGGGATGGACGGAAATGGGACGCCAAGTGCGTCTCTTGCCGGCTCAGAAGCGCCTGCCCAAGCGGCAGCGGAGGCACCGAGCGTGCCAGAGGGACTGTGTTGCAAGCTGTGCGCTCGCACCCTGCCAGCGTCTTCGCCGGGAAGAATGCGAAATAAGACGTGGACTTGCCGCCATTGTTTGTCACTCGAGTTGCTGCTCTATCGACATCTGGGGTCGTCGGAAAAGCAGGGCTGGTCAGTCGACTCTCGCACCGACTTCTATCGACGTGCCACGGCCGTAGAAGTGGCCGGTTGCAGGTGGTCCACAGTGAAAACAATGATTGTGGAGTCTCAAGCCACGCGCTTGGTGAAGGAGCAGGAGAACCGTGTGACCGCGAAGTCTCTTCCCCTCTCGGTCTGGATCAAGAAAGGTTATGATGAAGAAGCGGTGAGGAACTATCCAGCGGAGGAGGATGAAAATTTGGGCACTCTGTACGCAGTACCTGTGAAGTCGGTAACAATGAAGGAAGCACTGCAGCTCATCGAAGAAGAATTGCAGAGGAAGGAGAAGGAAGTGCTGCAGAAGAATGCGAAGAAAGTGAAACGTCAAGACGATGACGTCGATGGACACGAAGAGGAGGAGTGGGATGTGGTTCCACACAGACCCGCTGCGAGCGGAGGGCAGCCGAAAGGTAAGAAGGCCAAGACTGATGGCAACACGGCTGCAGCCACTGAGAAAGCCTCGAAGAGTGCGGCGAGAGCGGCCGTGCAAGCCAATAAGGCAAATGAGCAGCTGACCATGCTGGCTTCCAAGGCTACGGGCCTCCTGAGCAGGGTGCTAAAGGCGACGCAGACTTTGCTGCAGCAAGCTGAGAAGGCGAAGCTGGAAGGCAAGCAGGAGGTGGTAGACTTGAAAAATTCCTGGGAGCGTGGCACGGCGTGGAACAAGGCTTGCGTGTCCGCCTTGCCATTGGCAACTGCCGCGCAGGGCACCGGCGCCCGCTTGGATGCGTTGCCTTTTACCAACAAAGACTTGCAGGACTACGCTAAGGCAACAGCTGTTTTGCAGAAACAGATCCGTGAAGATCTGAAGAGCTTGAAGCCGGCCAAGGCTGCTGCGAGCAAGCAGGAGGAAGCAAAGTGACGCTACGAGCGCACCAAACGCACTGTGTTGTAGCATGTGAGCCGGGGAAGCATGTTGCCAGGTAGACATAGGTGCCAATCCAGTTCTAGACTCTGAGTTCGAAGATTAAACGCGCAGTGTCTCGCTGTGCAACGGGCGAAAACTAGTGTGGCCCTTGTTTACCCGTGAGTCACCGGTCTTGTGACCCGTTCCTTGTTTCTGCCGCAGCTTTCAAATCCAAACCTGTATGTTTCTATGCTGTCACTATGGCTCAAACGGTATATGTGCAATGAAGGAAGCACAGAATCACGTATCAACATGTAGGCTATACAGAGACACAGAGACCTGTTGCGTATGACTTTCATCGATTCGTACTTGTCTTTATGTAGAAAGTAACCATCCAAATAACTCCATGCATTGTGGCCGGGAACAATACTATATCAAGAAAAAAACACGCGGCATTCCAAAGCATATGCGCACAGCCACATGTCGTGTCCTGCCGTTGGTTGAAAAAGAAAATTGTCAGAAAACGAAGTGGCAAACCTCCATGAATGTCTCGCGGTGCCATGTGCATCCGAGAACGCTGTGCTGAAAATTTGGAATATTGCCAATCAATTGAGAAGTGACAGACCCGATGCCTGTACGTCGACTTTGAAGGCTGCCGCTCGCGAGCGTCTACGCGACGCGCGGGCCTGCTATGAAGCGTGGCGGGTGCCAGCCACTGACGAAACAATCTGGATGCCGCGTGCACCGGAAATGCTGAAATTTATGGTGGACGAGTCGCCTGCGTGGCGTGCTGCCGTGTCAGATGCGTTGGACGTCAACGACGGGGTTTTATGTCCAATCATCTATCATGATGACATCACGTGTGGAAACATTTTGGCAGTCATTAAAAAGAAAAAGGTGACTGCGGTGTATCTCACTGTACGTGAAATGTTCCCTCATGTGAGCCTAGAAGCTGCGTGGCTTCCCTTGCTGGTAATGCAACGGGTCCAACAGGAGGAAGTGCCTGGAGGTTTGTCTGCAGTGATGGCAGAATTGGTGCGTCGTCTCAGGCGGGCTGGAAGAGGCTTTGCGTTGGAAATCGATGGACGAGTTAGGCAATGTAGCTTCACGGTGCCATGTCTCTTTGCGAGTGACATGGATGCTCAAAGAGCAACTTGGTCGATCAAAGGCTCCGCAGGTTTGAAACCATGCATGTTCTGCGCCAACGTCATAGCAAAGTACGCCCTGCGCGGGCAGCATGAGTCATTTGAAACGATCGCTTCTGCAGCTTGTGACAAGTTCAAGGCAATTTCGGATGCTGACTTTCAAGCAGCGGTTCGTCATATCGCAGCACAGCCAACAAAAGCTTCCAGGGAACAATGGGAAAGAGCATATGGCTTGACATGGGATCCCCATAGCCTTTTGGCAGACGCAGATGCATTGTCGTGCTTGCCCCCCAGCGGCGCATGCAACGACGTCTTGCATGCGTACTTCTCCAACGGTGTGGCGTCTGTAGAACTGTGGCAGCTTGTCAATACACTGGGTCCGCTAGGAATTTCCCTGGGCAACCTGAGTGGTTTGGCATTGCAGAAACAATGGCTGCGATATGGGAAGAATGTGTCGCCGTCGCAGACGTGCATCAAACATATTTTGTCAGACAAGATGTTTGATAATGAACGATCCTTCAAAGGAGATGGTACGGCGACGGAACCTCTCGTCTTCCTGCTTTGGTATGTACTGTGTGAGCACGTGGAGCCAACTCCTGCTCTGAGTTCTGCAATGAGAAGTTTCGAGAGTCTCCATGCGTGCGTGCGTGAGCTGCGCTTCCTCCGCAAATATCCCGGAGCTCTCAGCTCAGAAGAACAAGTAGCACGCCTACGTGGCCTCCAAAGTTTGCATCAACAAGACTTCAACGAAGCCTACGGGGCAGAGAACAGTATCCCAAAGCATCATCACCGATTTCATATTCCTGACGGAGCTTTGAAACTTGGATTCCTTCCGCACTGTGAAACACATGAATCCAAACATCGCTGCCTCAAAAGTGGTGGAATCGTAGATAACCAAAGAGGCAAACTTAACGAGCACGCCCACTTCCAGTATGAGGTGGTGACACGGATGTTGAAAATCACCCGCTCTGAATCCGTTGAATTTGGCTTGACACGTTGGGAATTATTAACACCGACGAAGCCGGCATGCCAAGCCATGCGGTCAGAGTTCCAAGATGAGACGCTTCTGTGCGGCAAACGTATGCAATTAAGGCGACATGTCTTGAAAGAAAACCAGCCCATCATTATTGAAAACACAGCCTATATAGTCGAAAAGTGCCTGAGTGGCACACGCGCAGGTCTTTGGCTGCAGTTGAAACCGTTGGTTCACAAACAAACTTTTCCATGGGGAACTCAATGGACGGATGAAAACATCCCGCCCCAATGCTGCAAACCCAAGGCCAAACATGCGCTGATGACACCTGTGTGGTGGCAATTTGAAGCACCCACATACACGTTCCTGGGATGAACGGAAAGATTTCCCCGAGAGGGAAAAATTCAAATTTGCAAGCACAAATTAGCACAAAATAAACATGCAACACCTGACCAAACGCATTCTGGGAGAAAAAAGGCTGCCGCTGCTGACGTCAGTTTTTTCAAAAAGACAATGACATAGCTTCGACTTAGCTCGGACTTGGTAAGTCCAATCTAAATCAAAAAAAATGGTCATATCTAAGTCAGGCAAGTTCAACACAACTAACATAAATCAACCCTATATAAAAAAAAAAACATGTGGTAGTTAGTAGAAGTAGTAGTAATATTCGTCTTGATATAGTAATTTCTTGAAGCAATTTGAAGGCAGCTACACGCGCGGAACCCGCGCAGAACAACACGTGCGGAACCCGCGCGAAACGCAGACGGGCGGAACCCGTGCGAAACGCAGATGCACGGAACCCGCGCGTATGATGAGCCGTGACCACACACTGAAGCCGAAAAAAAACAAACGTGCGAGTCTCCGGCACTTATGGCGAAATGTTTACGATTCCTCTCGTATTTCATGTATTGGCCTATGTTCCTCAATGCACTTCATCAATGCACCTGCTGTTTGGGGTCTACGGTGGTGTAATTTTTTAGGTTGCCCCGGGGGCGCACCACCACCACCACCACCGCCACCACCAACAGCAACAACAACAACAGCACGCTGTCCCTTGTTCCATGGCTTCAGTTTGGTCAATGTGTTCACTTCGGCGAGCCCCCCTCCAGCTTGTTTTTTTTAGGCTGCCTCGGGGGCGCACCCACCACCACCACCATTGCGTGGCTTCAGCTGGTTAAATGTGTTCACTGCAAGCTCGCGATCGTAGATTGGTGGGAACCCAAAACACCCAAGCTGGAACCCAAAACACCGTGGGAACCAGACACACCTTTGAGGAACCACAAACACCCTCCAGGGAACCCAAAACACCATTCCGGGAAAAAAAACACCACGGGAACCACAAACACCATTCCGGGAACTGGATACACCCAACCCCCATTTTTTCTATGCCATGGGTGGCAGCCAGGTGCTTCTGGCTTGTTTTTTTCCTGCATGCAGCCAGCAGCAGTTCTGCAAATTAAGAATGTGATTTTGTGGCATTATAGTTTTTTTTACAAAGGTTTGCTTAGGCAGGGTTTGTACAATTAGTAATGTCAAAGGGGAAAACATGAGGAATGTAGTAAAATAAACCTAGAAGATGGCACTTATTTGGTGACTAGTGGGGGGCAAAATGTTGTTTGGTAGAGATGGCCTGGCGACCCTTAATATAAGGTGCGTACCAAACTTTTTGGGCAAAAGGAACCATTGTAGAGACCACTTCTCTGATGAGTATGTCTGGTCACAAGCAACCATTATAGACATCACTCCTTTGAGGAGTGCTCATGAGTAGATAGTAGAGGTGAGTAGTGAGTAGCCAGTAGACAGCAGTTTGTGGCCAGTTAGAAGTCATAATAGTCAGTAGTTAGTGGTGAATAAACGGTGAATAGTGATTGTTTTATGGTTTCTAGCTGCTAGCCTGTATAGTGGTGAGTGATTAGTAGTTCGTAGGTAATAGCTAGCAGTTAGTAATTATAATGGCCAAAGTGCGGAAGCAATCCTATGGTACCTGCACTCCTCTGAGGAATGCTGTTGTAAAAAAAATGGACAACGCAATTATCTTGTCCAAGTATTGAAATTTGAACCCCACCAAGTGTTTCAAGAGTGGGGTCCAAAGTTGAAACTAACAACTAAAATCTGTTCTTTTCAAACCTTGTTAAGACATAGCCAAGGCTTAACCCACTAACAATTATAATTTTTACTGCTGCCCAAGGTTGAAAATTGAATCTGTTTTTCAAACCTTGCCAAAAAATATAAAGTCAAGGTTGAGTCCCACTAACACTAACAAATATTTTTGTTTACTGCAGCCCAAGGTTGAAGATACAATATGTTCTTTTCAAAATCTCGTTTCAAAGTATTCAAGTTTGAGCCCCATTAAAAAATATAATTTTTAGTGGGGCCCAAAAATGAAGATAAACTATGTTATTTTCAAACCAGGTGAAAGTATTCAAATTTGAGCCCAATCATTTTTCAGGGTGGGGCCCAAAGTTCAAGATAATGTGATCTTTTTAAATTTTGCCGAAGCATTCAAAATTTTGAGCACCACTAACAATTGTTGGGTCCAGACTTGAAGATAAAACATGTTCTCTTCAAATCTTATTGAGGAGTATTCAAGTTTGAACCCCACTAACGATTATAATTCTTAGTGTGGCCCAAGGTCGAATATAAATATAAAATGTAAAAAAATCCTTTAATATTTTGTCAAAATGTATTCTAGGTTGAACCACACTAGAAATAAAATATTTTTGGTGGGGCCCAGAGCTGAAGATAAAATATGTTCCTTTCAAATCTTGTCACAAAGTATGCAAGTTTGAACCCCACTAAAAATCATAATTTTGAGTGAGGCCGAAAGTTGAAGGTAAACTGTGACAGTATTCAAATTTGAGCCCCACCTAGTTTTTTCAGGGCGCGGCCAAAGTTGAGGATAATATATGCGCTTTTCAAATCTTGCCGAAGTATTCAAAATTTAAGCACCACTAAGAATTGTAATTTTCAGTTGGGCTCAAAGCTGAAGTTAAAACATGTTCTCTTCAAATCTTGTCGAAAAGTATTCAAGTTTGAGCCCAACTAACAATTATATTTTTTAGTGTGGCCCAAGGTTGAAGATTTCATCAGTTCCTTTGAAATCTTGTCAAAAAGTATTCAAGCTTGAGCCCCACTAAAAATTAATATTTTTGGTGGGGCTCAAGGTTGAAGATAAAGCACGTTCTTTTCAAATGTCGCCGGAATATTTAGATTTGAGCAATTCGAGCACCAGAAAAAATAATATGTTTTGTGGAGGCGAATCCCTACACACACATGTCATGGGACTAACTTTACTGGGTCCAAATAAACTGGACACCCTGAGGTAATGGTTCTTTGGATTCTTGGTAGTATCGCTCGCCCCTTCAAAAGTAAATCTATTTTACTGCTGGTGCAGCCTTTTCCTTTGCCTTGGCCTGATCTTCACCCTTCTGCTCACCAGCCTTGTCCTGCATGATAGCTCAGGTGGAGTGAAGCTGCAACTGGATATTATACTTGAACAACGGGAAACTACATTAGATTGAAATACTACCCAGCAAGATTGGGCATTGGAACATATAGAGCCAAGGTCATAAACCATGAGATTTTTCATATGCGGTAGAATTAGTATGTGTTCAAAATTCTACCGCATATAAAAATCTCATGGTTTATGACCTTGGCTCTATATGTTCCAAGGCCCAATCTTGCTGGGAAGTAATTTCAAGCTAATGTAGGCTCCCTTTGTTCAAGTATAATTTGCAGCTATGGCAACCCTCTTAGCGCAATGCCTTGCAATGCCTTCTTCACGTCTTGGAGCATTTTTCAGGGTGCCCTTTTCTGACCCCCTTTGATCACCTCAGCAAAGGAAAAAAAGGGACCTGCAAAAAACCTGCAACAAAACAAAGAGAAAAAAACAAAAGGCTACAATGCAAACAGCACTTCAACACATTTACCACCTTTGGAGCTCATGCCTTGCAATGCCTTCTTGATGTATGGAACAGTTTTTCAAGGTGCCCTCTTCTGACCCCTTTCATAACCAAAGCAAAGAAAAAATGGCACCTGCAAAAACCTGCAACAAAACATAGAAAAAACAATAGGCTACAACTAAACAACACTTCAAACACTTACCATCTCTAGAGCTCATGCCTTGCAATGTCTTCTTCATGTATTTGGAGAATTTGTTCAAGGTGCCCTTTTCTGACCCCCTTTGATCACCTCAGCAAAGGAAAAAAAGGGCACCTGCAAAAACCTGCAACAAAACAAAGAGAAAAAAACACAAGGCTACAGTGCAAACAACGCTTTAAAACATTTACCGTCTAAGAACTCGTGCCTTGCAATGCCTTCTTCATTCATTTGGTGCATTTTTTTTCATTTTGCCGTTTCCTGACCCATTTCATCACCTAAGGAAAGGAAACAAGAGCACCTCTAGAAGATGAACCAAAAAGAAGAAATGTTCCTGGAAGGTAATGTAGTTTCAAGTTTGGCCCTACCCTTTAAAAAACTCGGTGGGGCTCAATTTTGATTCCTTTTCAGCAAAATTTGAAAAGAAGCCGTTTATTCTTCTCAAATTTACACCACCAAAATACTACTATTTTTAGCGGAGCTGAAACTTGAATCTTGTCGACAAGATTTGAAGAGAACACGTTTTATCTTCAATTGTTGGCCCAACTAAAAATTAGCGGGGCTGAAACTTGAATACTTCGACAAGATTTGAAAGAAACATATATGATCTTCAACTTTGGGGGCCACCCTGGACAAAAAATATTGGGGTCAAATTTGGATACTTTCACCAAATTTGAACAGGACATAGTTTATCTTCAACTTTGGGCCCCACTGAAAATTAAGATTTTACTGGGGTTCAAACTGGAATACTTTGTGTCAAGATTTGAAAGGAAACTAATTTATCTTCAGCTTTGGCCCCAACTACAAATTGTAGTTTTTGGTGGGGCCCAAATTGATAATTTTCGGTGGGGCTCAAATGTGAATACTCCGACACAATTTGAAAAGAACAGGTTTTAATTTCGACTTTGGCACCCATGTTTTTTTTTTTATGGTGAGGATCGAGTTTGAATACCTGGACAAGATACTTTCAGTTTCCAATTTACTTTGTTTTCAACAACACTCCTCTGTGGAGTGCAGGTACAATACAGTTTGCTTCTGCACTCGGGCCATTGTAATTATATACTAACTGCCAACTACTGCCTACTGAATGTCACCTACTAACCAGTAATCACAACTAGACTAGCAAGTAACTAGAAACTAGTAAGTATTCATTATTCACTAGTAAGGAATGTGTCCTCTGAAGAGGGCCTAGGCCTAAATGTTAAGGTACTTGATTTTGTTTTAAATACATCATATTTTTTTGGGGTGGGCATATGAAGTTTCGTGGGAGAAGGTTT